TATATATACACACACACACACACGCACACGTACACACACTATCGAAAAAAAAAGGAAAAATTAAAAAGCACAGCTAAATTCATTTTTGTTCTTTTCCCTTACCAAAAGACCATTACTATAGAGCTGATTTTTAAAGTGATAAGACCCATTTTTTTAAAGTATATTATGGTTGCCGTAGATAATTAATTTGTCGTTTTAAATTTTGGCCTAGAATGACAAAGCCAACGTCTGAATACCATGAATCAAAGTTCTTCAGTCGTCTGAAAGTGGAAAAGGTACAGGAATATCTTTACCGCAGGAAAAAAAATGAGTGCGAGACTGCTATGAACTCGGTATCGTTTAAAAAGTGATCTGCCCTCGTAGTTTTTGTACGTCAGTTAGATCATGCTCGACCCCGAAAAAAAAAACCCCCCCTCCAAACAATTTGCATGAAAGTGGCAGGTGAGAATGAAAGCTGAGGCGCAATTTAAGACTTCCGCCTCACTGTGATCTAGAGTTACCTGCCGTTGTTCGCAGACTTGACGTACGATACGTATAAAAGCGTGTACTTCAAGTTAACACAAAAGCTTTAAACTCCGAGACACCTAGTAAACCTGCAGTGCAAGTGGGTACATAACTTAAAAGGGAAATTTATACTGTTGTGAGACCCTCGTGGAATAAAATTTAAATGCTCAATTAATAACGCTGAAGTAAAAGGCTCGTTTGCGTAGGCTCGTTTACGTCTGGAAGATTGTTCACCCGTAGTGTTTATTTCAGGAGCTAAATATCCTACTCGTCATTTTAATTTTCAGCATTTCTTTCTTGTGCACAGATACTTAGACAAACAATTGCAAAATGAACTTTAAGTCGATCCAAGAGCGCACATGCACACACAAACTCACCATGTCAAAAGCGCACATCTACACACTCCTCCTTCACAGGTCTCTCCTGTCACTTTCATATCTGACACTCGTTATTTAAACCCTCTATGAATATTCATGCTTTGTTTTCCAGAGGAGAATGTCCTTCCCCTTAGCAGCCTTCGTTAAATTATTTCCTCCTGTAAGTGTTACGTACGGTGTACACTTGTCCGAAATGTCGATTCTGTACGTCCCGGGAGGTATAGAATAATTATGAGGGAAGCCACTGCACACATGTACTTGAAGTTTAAAATAATAAATTTTGAAATTGTATTATAGTTTAGTTTTAACGCCCCTTGCAACAGTTACTGTATAAGACTTTTTAAGAGACGGCCCTTCCCAGTACAACGTATTTTGATGTATCTCCGACGGGGCGAAGCCAGATGGGAGAATTCGTGTAAAGCGCCTTTTCTACGGACACAACGTTGGACAGAGCAGGGCCTCGAATTCCCGAGTCCACAGTCTCTCGAGATCAAGTCCGGTAGCCAAACCATATCTACCCAGAAAGTGGCTTTCAGCAAGATTTATAGTTAATGTCTTTGGCCTGAATTAATCTATGTCCCTGAATGCTGCCAAATGTTTCTAATCTGGCAGATGTAATGCACCTTATCTTTATGTACAAGTTTCCGGAATTTAAAAAAAATCCCAAAGAAATGGATGTCACTATCAGGCAGAACCTACAGAATCGGACGAACGTACACACAACTTAAGCAGTCAATATTTTAGGTGTAATGAAGAGCCGTAGAGTGCTCAAGTAGAGCATAGATATGTACTTTAATATTATTTGTCAAGACACGGTAGAATCAGGCGCTCGTCAGATTTGGGGCATAAGGAGGTATTGGTATAATCGTAAACTTGTTTATTTGTCTTGCTTTTGATTTTAAAAATTACCCATCTATCTAGAATAGAAGTTAAGATATTTACGATAGAAGGAGACAAGGGTCGCCTGGTGTCTGGGGTAAGATTAGTGATACATTTTAATAGTTTTCCAAGCTTGGTGACTTCCACAGCTTGAGCGATCTTG